TAAAGATCTCCAGGCCATGATACTTTGGAGTTAAGTTCGTAACTTGGAAAAACTTAACATACTTTAGGGAACTTCATTAGCCTTTAATGGATGTAATGAAAAGTTCAGAAATATGAAGATATGATATGAATTGACATGTACCAGGTGCTGTGAGCATGACTTAAAAAATACAAGACGCCACCCCCATCCTCAGGGATTTTATATTCCACCCTGGAAGTCGAGGTTAACAAACACAAAACAAGAGCAAACACCTTAAGGCACTGTGTGGTCTTGGCCTAATTTCTCTAGGACTCGTTTCATTTTCTTTTAAAAATATATAATTTGAAAATTCAAATTTAGAAAGATTTTTAATGAATGAAAAAGAAGAGTCCTCTGCCTTGCCATCTTCATCCCTGAATCCCCTTTCTTGGATTCAGCTGCTTTCAACTCTTTCAGCCATTTTTGTTTTTTTGTGGTATTTTTTTCCCATGTATCTACTCTCACATGATGATTTCCTGAGTGATGAACTTCACACATTACTATGGAGGATGAAGATTAATGTCAGCCTCTTTTCCCCCTCTCACACACTGTTCCCCTGTGCACCTTCTAATCTAGTTCCATCACAGTTCTTGCTTAAATCGCAGTCCATGTTTGCATTATGACAATGTAAATATCACTCACGGCTGAGCCAAATAGGGTACTTTTTCCTTTCTTTCTGTCTTCTTATTTCCTGAAGAAAAAAGTTGCCTTATATTTGTTTAACTTAGTTTTCTATGTATTTCAGAATCTCTATTTTTTCCCAAACTTTCAAAGAACTGTACAATCCTTTTCATGTGATCAAACTCATTGGCTTATCTCTCAGTTCCATTGTTTTATCTTCTTCAGAGCCATGCTCCATGCTGACTGCTTGCTCTCATAGCTCAGCTGTCATCTCTAGAGTCCCATTCACTGTCCTCCGGAGAGTTCCTTCAACTCTCTGAGTTGGGTTCTCTGGGTCTCATGTTTCTCTCTGCCTTGATTTGCTTTCTTAAGAGCAAAGATGAACACATCTTCCAGCTTCCTGAGAAAGAGTATATTAAAGGCTCTGATTTTTCAAAGGATTCACCAAACTTCACAAAGTATATTCATGAAAGACTTTAGTAATGGATGAGGCATGGCAGGATAAAGAAAGCAGAGGTAATCATTAGGGAGACCTGGGAGATCCAGAAGCAGCTTCCAGGGTCCTCTCTCAGGTGCGCAGGACACAGTTCATCTATGAATCATGAACCACCAAAATATGACAAGATATGGTCTCACGCTGCTGTCTTATATCTGAGGAGGAGTTTTTTATATCTCTCTGTTCGTGTAGTCAAAACTACGTGTGGGACCAGACTCATTAACAGAAGTAAAGATAATAGTAGAATCCAGATGCCAATTATCAATATGCACATTTTCTATGAAAAATGCAGACAAGATGTTACAGGCTGCTCCCTGGTGCTTCACACCCTAGGACAGGACAGGACTCCATTAATCACTAGTTAATACATTTTATTCAGATTTGGCCAAGGGCCAATACCATGACTGTATTCCTCTGAGGTGGTAACAGGTTTGCAACAGACTGACATAACCCGTGAGGTTAAAAGACCTTGAATGCCTGACACAAGGTCTTTACTTTAATGCTTAATTCATTGTTTTCTAGGCATAAAATTCTGGGCTGACAATTATTTTTCCTCAAAATGTGAGAGGAATTATTCCTTTGTCTCTGGCAATCCTGCATTTCTGTTGAGCAGTCTGCTCCCATCCTGATGCCTAGTTCTTTATTGGTGACTCTGGATACTCTGGGAATCTTCCCTCTGTCCCCTTGTTGCTGAAAGCTCGGCCACTTGTCTGCGAGGCCAACTCAGAAGAACAAGGGCAAGCAGTTTGGGAAGGAAGGAAAGAGAGTTTAGTTTGCAAAGGAGGAAATATGGTAGACCTTCTTGTCTCAAAATCCCAAATTTCCTGAACATAGGCAGAAATACAGAGCTTTTAAAGGGAGGGTTTTCAGCTTCAGGTAATTACTGTGGTTAACTATTCTAAATGTCCCTTCTGGCCAAAGACAAAGCCACCTGGGAATTTTAACAAAAGACTTAACCTGCCTCAGGGATGCAGGCCAGAATGCTGTTCCCAAAAAGAGTGGGGCAAGTTTTCCAGGCCATTCCCTCTGTTACATATTCCCCACTCTCAATATTTCCCTTCCATATCTATGGGAGGAGGGGCGTCTACTCTGTTACACACTGTGTACTGAAGTTTCATGACGTGCCTTGGTATGGGGTCTTTCATCCCGTGTGCTGGACACTTAGACTAGCTGTTTCAAAATGAAAATAATATTCTTCAGTTCATGGAATTTTAAAAATAATTTCTTCCCTCTGATTATCTTGGTACCTTCTGTAATTTCTATTAATCAGATATTGAACGTATTGGGTTAAGTGCTTATTTTTCTCATGTTTTCTTCCCTATTATCTAAGTTTTAAAATTTTTGTTTTACTTTTGGAGAGGTGGATTCAACTTTATATTTCAAGTCTTTTATTTATTATTTCCTTGTTGTGATCATATTTTTTAATTTTTAAGAGATCTTTCTTCATTTCTAATTGTTCCATTTTAATAGCATTGTGTTCTTGTTTCACAGATGCAATACTGTCTTCTCTCTCAGAATACTATCTATGGTTTCATAGTTAGACAGAGGTTGTCTTCTGTTCTCTGTCTTGTATCTGATTCTCCAAGTTCCATTCTTCTGTTATGTTTAGTTTTTGCCTTTCGTATCCTGTCTAGTGACTCTTAGCTGTCTGTTCATGTTGGGAGTGAGGCACTAAAAAGCATACTGGCTTAGACTTATTGATGCCTGGGCCTCCTCGTAAGGTAACTGTAGAAGGAGCCAGGAGTTTCATTGGAGGATGCTGAAATGTCAGAATGTGTAGGTCTTTTCTCTTTAACTGGTCAGTTTCCCTAAAGAGGATTCTCTTAGACTCCTGCCTGTTTTCCTACCTTCTGGGAAGGGATTATTATGGGGTAGGGGAATGTTTCTTGTTCAGAATACAGACTTTCACTTAATTCCAATATTTTCAATACACCTCACCCCTGTACCTAACGGCCCTCAGCATAGATCCTCTCTTATTTAACATTGGCAGAGAGTAAAATGGAAGAAGTTCGGCAGGGAGAGAGGAGGGAAGGGAAGGGGGAGCCTCCTGGCTGCGTGGGCCCATAGAAGGGATGGGAGCGAGGTTGTCTAACACTCCTGTTTGTAGTCCTGCCCACTCCTGCCTCCTAAGGTACCTGAGCCTCCAGTCCCTGAGCCATTCCAGGGACCCCAGTCATATTTGTTGGCAACTCCTCCAAAGGCACGTAGGCACAGCCCTTCTCCTCTGCTGAGTCAGCTGTGCTCGTCCAAGTGCTTTGTGTCCTTCAAAGTGTTGCAAACCTCTCTTGTCTGCTTCACTTGCTCTCTTGTTCTGTCTGTCCTTGTGGATTTATGCCTTTCTAAAATAGGAAAAAAAATCCCTTTACTCATAGTTTACTTTGTGAGGAAACAGAGATAAATGCATGTAGCTATAGGGGTGAAGAGAGTTTTTCCCTCCCTGTTTGAAGATTTGGGTCTTAAGTCTGCCAAAATAATACTGACGATAGGCAGATTAACAGGTGGAAAAGCATACAGACTTATCAATATGCATAAGCACAGGAAAATCATAGGAAAATAATTACTCAATTACCCAATGAGATGCAGAAACTCATACCCCCTTCTTCATAGGAAAGAAGAAAGTGGAGGAGTAGGCAGTTTTGAGGAGTAGTAACTGATTTTTAGGGGAACTGAATGAACTCAAAGGATAATAGTTGGTAAATGATTCTGTTTGAAAATGGAATGGGACCAAGAACAGACAATAGCTTGTGGACATGGGAAGGTGAGGGGTAGAGCAGCCTTTCAAACAAACGTTGTCTTACCAGGCATGTAAAGTCTCCCAGGCAGTCTCTCTGAGCTGCTCTCAGAAGAATAGATGGAAAGTCTGTCTGGGCAAAGTGACTACTTTTAGTCTTTTCTCTTCTTTGGTAATCTTTCCTGGTTGTTTGATGAGATTTCAATTGTCTCGAAAGGCAGTTTCAAGACAATTGCATTTCTTTTGGAAGAAGTTTTGTCTGTCAGAGAAGGGAACTTAACTGAGAGAACCCCTCCCTACCTGTGCTGTGGGAGTGATGGGACAGGAGAAGGTTAGAAAGTCCTTGGTTCTGAGGCATCTTCTGAAGCCTTCCAATTTCCTTTCATTGAAAAGTGCTCAGCACGCCAAAGCACCATACTTCGGGGTACTGTTCTCTGAGCCCCTATATGCCTGGTTACTCAGTTTTGACCAGCAACTCTGGGCCTCAGCTTTCTTATATCTAAAATGAGGGGATTAGACTAGATTATCTCTAAGGTTCTATGAATCTCAAATTCTATAAATTCATGACTAAATAAGTGCTATATCATATGGGACTGATACTAATTTCCCTGTTTGGAATGGCTAGAATCTAAACAGGGAAATTACTAGAGTGGGAATCATCAAGAGAAGTTTCATCATAGAGGTGGGGGCTAGAAAGTTGTGTTAAATGGAGAGAGGAAGAAGGGAACAGCATAAGTGAATTCACAGAAGCAGCCATGCTCCCTGATGGAAAAGGTACACACTGAGATGTAACAAGAAACAAAGTTGGATATTCACCAGGTGTATGGTTAGTGTTTAGTGCTTGCTGTAGAGGGTCTTCAAAGACTGAAATTTAAACTTGATTGTAGTATAAAATGTCACTCTTCAAAAATGATATAATATTGTCACCAGATAGTATTTATTTTCATCTTCTAACCTTTGTACAATTCTTCTTCACATTTCTTTTTAAAGTGAATTGGAAAAAAAAAACCCTAATTTTTCTCTTCTAAGGAAAAATTTTAAAGTGCAATGATATGAGTTTGAGAACTAATGTATTTTTTGAGGCAAACTGTAATTTCGATGTCACATTTTATATGCCTTTAATTTTTCTTATAGGTTTTATTGCTGTATGCATATAATACGAAGCCCCTGAAGGTGGCAGATGTTAGACATTCCAGTTACAACAGTATATCTGTTGGTTCTTTATGGTTTCCACTAAACAGGCAAGTAAAAGTGGATTTTCCACAACTCTCTGTTTTTGCCACTGTTTCTCATAAGAACAGCCTCTTTTGGGAATGTACAAGGTAAAGCACAAGAGGCTTAGGCACTTTTGGAAGAAACTTCCTTTTGTTTAGAGCAGCAGTCCCCAACCATTTTGGCACTAGGGACCAGTTTCATGGAAGAAAATTTTTCCACAGACCAGGAAGTTGGGAGTGGGTGGAGGGTATGGTGTGACAGAGAGCAGCTGTAAATACAGATGAAGCTTCACTCGCTCACCTGCCACTCACCTCCTGCTGTGCAACCCAGTTCCTAACAGGCCACGGACTGGTACCGGTCGATGGCCCAGGGGCCGGGAACCACAGGTTTAGAGGAATATTATATTGCAGTGGTCAAGAGCATGAACTCTGAATCCAGCCTGCTATAGTTCAAATGCCAGTTTGTGCCCCTTACTACCTTTGTAAACTTGGGTAGTTTATTTAACCTCTCCTTCAGTTTCCTGATTTGTAAGATTGGAATAATATTTAGGTTATTAAGTATGAAATGTCTGATTTCCTTAAGTACTAAGTCTGACAGCTGATGTCTCTGACATTTCACTTTGACACTTCTTGTTTTATTTTTACCGTGAAGGTACATCCTCAGTTTTTCAAACGTCCATTTTGGCTTGTGATTATCTTTCACATTTTTTAGAGCAATTTTGTGAAACCGTGGATAAGTAAAAATTCCTGTTATTTTTGAATATGAATTCCATCGTGGAATCAATGCAGCACAGACAGTTCGAAATATCAATGAAGTGTTTGGGAAGGATGTGGCTAATGAACACATAGTATGTTGATGGTTTGAGAAGTTCCATTCTGGTGATTTTAATCTTGAAGATGAGCCATGTGGGTGACCTGAGACTAAGGTGGATAATGGTGAGCTGAAAGCTGTAGTGGAAGTGAATCCATCTGAACCTACATGTGAATTAGCAGCAAGGTTTGACATTACTAGTCCAACAATATTGGACCATTTGAAACAAATGGGCAAGGTAAACAAGCTGGATAGATGGGTTCCGCATGAATTAAATGAGCATCAGAAGAGAAATTGTCTCAAAGCTTGCCTTTCTTTGCTGTCACAACATAAAGGCAAACAAGTTCTACACTGTGTTATGTGTGATGAAAAATGGATTTGTTTTGACAATCATGAGCATTCACAATGGTTGGATAAAGGTGAAGTGCCAAAGCACAGTCAAAACCGAATAGTCATCAGAAGAAGCTAATGGTGTCTGGTGGTCCAGTGCTGATGTTATCCATTACAGCTTCATGAAATCCGGTCAATTGATTAGCAGATGTCTACTACAATCAACTGGACAAAATGATGAGGATGCTTGCACTTAAGCAGCTGAGATTGGTCAATAGAGACAATCCTCTTGCAAGACAATGCTCAACCATGTATTGCACGAACAACGCTGCTCAAACTACAGAAGCTAGACTTGGAAACTCTTTGTCATCCATTGTATTCACCAGACCTTGCATCAGCTGACTTGTACTTCTTCCAGGCTTTGGACCACTTCTTGCAAGGAAAAATACTCAATTCTCAACAAGCTGTGGAAAATGCCTTTTGTGATTTCATCACCACTCCCTCTCCAGGCTTCTTTGTTGCTGGCATAAACAAGCTACTGTTAAGATGGTAAAACTGTGTCAATAGTTTAGGTACATACTTTGATTAATTGTACTGCTTTTTGTTTGAGATATTGTAAACTACACTTTGGATTCAAAGTCAGACATTTCATATTTAATGACCTAACACTAATAATAGTACCTAGGGTGGTTGAAGGAACAGTTCATGACACTTCATAGAGATTTCAGAGGGTACAAGGATGTTGTCTGTACTATATTTTGCCTGTATTTTGGTGTGGTTAAAAAATAATGTAATGTGGTTCTGTACAGGGTTGCAAAATTAAGCCCAAACTCCACCACCCTCCGTGCCTCTCCTTTCCCTCTGTACCCAGTCCTATTTTCTTTTGCTCTAAAGTCAAAAATCTCTGCTTTGGCCAGGTTGTTTTCCTCACTCTCCATCACACAGGGCATATCTCTAGCTTTTTGCTCATGCTTTGTTTCTCTTTTCCTATTTCACTTTACCAAATTCTTCATTTGTTTATTTTTTCATTACTTAGCTAGTTATTTTTGACTCCATTGTTCATTGTCCATCTGACCTTAGCCTCTATTTCCTCCATTGTAAGATGGAATTATAATACCTGCTCTGCCTACCTTTTGGGGTTATTGTTAGGATCAAGCCAGACAATGTATGAACATAATTTGAAAGATTGAAAACACTAACACCTGTGTCTATTAGTGCCAGCTCTTTGCCCTGCTTAGTGAATAGAGAATTGGTGCTTCTCTGTCCTTCTCTCAAGAGTCTTGTTCGTGCTCCATGATTTTCACTTTGGATGACTTCTTGGCCTTGCCGTGAAAGAAAATAAAATGTCGGCTGTTTCAAGAGCTAGCATGCTTTCAATTACTCAGTCAATATCCTTCCTCCCTCCCTCCCTCCGTTCTTCCTTCCTTCCTTCCTTTTTTCTTTTTAAGTGAAATAGCAGAAAACCTAGGCTATATACCAGTACAGCTAAGCAACACAATCACACTAGCCTTGTAAATCCAGAAACATTGCAGTATTTTTTTTTCAGAACTACATGAAGAAAATGATTACAATTTCTACAGAGTAGACAGTCAGTTCTGGACACTACAGTTCTGGACACTCATTAGCAATCTATAACCCGAATGTCATAGAATAGTTTATCCTTCCTAGAATTCCAAGTATTATAAAGGAAAGATATACTATTTTTAGAAGAAAAATAAGAAATCTTTCTCTATATTAGAATGAAGAATGGAGTTTTAGAATACCATCTTTCCTTTATGTGGTCTCTTATAGCTAAGAATCTACACAGTCATGTCCTTTCATCCTTTCAAAAGCCCTGCGAATTGGATGAAGTGGATTTTATTATTCCAGTATTGTCATAGAAGGAAACCCAGGGTTAGAGAGGTTGAGTGACTGGTCTGAGGTCCACTGGCCGGTGTGTGAAGGAGTGAGGCATGACTCCTTTGAGTCCTAACCCTGTGCCCTCTCAGGGCCTCAGGAAGCTTTTCCAGCATTATTGATGATCCATTTTTAATGGGTACATTTTCAAAATTAACTTTTAACAACAAATCTTTACATTTCAACTCTTGCATTTTTTATAGAAAAGTTTCTAAAACATACTACATGCATTCAAATCCTCTTACGTATAGTTAAAGGTGTTTTTTACTTTTCATAGCCGAGAACCGTCTTTAGGATGATCAAGCATCGTACCATGCTGCAGCTGAGGATGCTGTGGGAAATTGGAGAATTGACATTCTTGCATATGTTCCTGACATCAGTCTGCCTTTTGGATTATTTACTTCTTTTTCATAATAATTTTTCTTCTTCCTTGAATGGAGAAACACATGCATGCACACACACACCTGTACACGCTGCGATGCCTACAGCATAGAGTCGCTGAAGGCCACACAGGTGGCTGTTTGGCTCCTTCTACCTTTGAAGCCTTCAACCTTCTGCCCCCACTCCACTGCTCCACCTCTGCCTTCAGAGCCTGTGGCCCCTGAAGCTTTCTGTCTTTTGCGTCATTGCTGCTGTGCCCTCTGCCTTCCTCCTTGACTTTTGCTTTTCGTTTTTTTCTTGATTCTTCTCCCTCCCTTCCCCCGTCTCTCCACAGCCTCCCCAATACACTGAATTGCTGTGGGCTGCTTCTTGACCAGCCTTTTAGAATCATTGCTAACCTGTCATGATTCTTACCTTCAAGTCAGCCAGAACATCATAGCATGGCATTAAGACTTACATAGGAGTAAATCTTTTATTATTGCCTAGAGTTTGTTTGCCCACGTAGATACTTATTTTCTTTATTTTCATCTTCAACAGTATTTTGGATGTGTACCTTTCTTTCATTTCATCTTTGCCAATTTGTAATTATATATTTGTCTAAGTGTATAACAGGACCATAAACATTATGAAAGTTAAGATTGTATCTCTTTGCTCATGTTTGTTGATTGAAGGAATGATTGACTGAATGATGTTTGGCAGTGTCAGAAATCTAATGGTTAAATAACTGAGGGCTTACTTTACACATCCTATAGATTCTGCAAATAAACAAATGCCTTTCTTAACTTTTTCAATAAAATACATGTATATTTGTTATTTTTTAGAGTTATTGCAATTCACGAGAAGCTATCTAATCTTGTGCAAATAGCTGAAATATCATTGCCAGCAGCTCCTGAAATTGCTTCGAATGAAGATGTATCTGAAATAGAAGAAACAGAAGAGAAATCAGTAGACAAAGAAATGGAAGTAAGTTATTAAATATGGAAAATGGCATTGCTATTGGAGGATGGATGTCATCACACACAATTGTTTAAATTGTTTTTTATTTCATCAAAGCAGAACTATATAACTAAACTTGAACTTTGTGGTTCTTCTGCCCTCTATTTTCTCTACTCAGAGTACCAGATATGACCCAAATTTTTGGCACGTACATAGTGTCCCCTCCAAAGCTCTTCTCAGAATACCGATTACAAGAATCTGACAGTGAATGAAAACAAAGCCAATTCAGAGAAATTGTTCAGATATAACTGTGAATCCCAAGACAATTCTTTGTGACATATTAATATTACTTTCATTTTTTCACTCAAACTCTATTATTTAAACATTTTTATTACCTAAGTGATATGTGAAGAAAAACTAGAAAATACAGATAGGCATATGTTCTTTCAGACTTTTTCTATGCCTATGTATTTTTCTAACCAAAGAAAGGGCTATTATCTGTATAGTATGCTGTTAATCTGATCACACAGCTGAGTGTTTTATGATGACTGATATGTGTATTTTGGGGAAGAGGGTGGATTTCCTTCCCTTCCTGAGTTCTTAACCCATTGAGAAATGGGGCAGAGTAGACAAATACGTGGAGATCAAAATGTCAGCATTATTACTGATAAAGCTGATTAGAGAGCGTGGCTTTTAATCTGTGGCCAAATGAGCTCATTAATCTTTTACCCCTGAATCAGCCAGACTTGCCCACCTAGCCACACAGTCATCTGCAGTCGTCTGGCATACCCATGTAACCACAGGGTTCTCCCATTCTCCCCCTGCACCTCGCCAAACTTACTGCATGGGGGGGCAGAGAATAATAGTCCTGCAGGTAGGGTGCCTACAAAAAATGTTAACAAAGATTGCCGATAAGGGGCTGAGCCTAGCACACTCTATTGCTTTCCCTAAACTCGACAATCAGAAAGTGGCTTGATTCTCATGGGGATAAATTAGTGATGGGTCCAAAAGAAGCTAGAAGTGTCTCCCCCTTCTAGAGGGTAAGGAGTAGAAATTCCTTACCCTCTCTGGACACAAGAAGGGCAGGGAATACGTGCTCTCTCCTAATCACCTGTGCTTTAAATTTTTATTTATACATTAATCCAATTTCTAGAGATATATATTCTGCATTTATTGTGGCCATTAAAAAATAGATCCAAAAGGCTAAGTAAAAAGGGGCAACCTCCTGCCCAATCTCTCCTTACTCCACATTCCTGCTCTGCAGGGGAAGCCACTTTCAACTCTTTTCTTTTGTTATTTGCTTCCACATCTAGAAATAATATGCAGTATCAATCATGAAAGGTGGGGTAACAACTAACCTCCAACTCTGAGAGGGTCAGCGGGGGGCCTACTCCATGTTGCCTGCTCCTGGAGCCAGCATCCAAGCTAGGGGCTCACCCATCATATGCAACAGTGGCAGTCGCTGTGTCAGGAGGGGATAGAGGGGGGACATCACACACTGGCACATAAAATTTCCATCATATCCCTTCCACTAATTTTTTATTGGCCAAGTAAGCTGTCTGCTGTACCAACAATTCTGCTACCAGCTTGAAAGAAGGAAAGTCAGACATGTTGATAAATTGTGCCAATGACAGCCACAAATCATTGTTTTTTCTTGAGGTATCAATTTTAGATAATATCTATGGATTTTTGGTTATAGTATATAAGGATTTAGCTCACTTATACTTCTCTCTGACTTCTCCTTTTCCCTTCCCTTCTAGATATTGTTATATCACAAAATTTAGTTAAACCAATATTCAGTGTTTACCTTCTTATGACCCTGTAAACGATGTTCACAGCCAAGTCGAGTAGTGTACTATGCTTATGTTCCTTTCTTGTATGTTTTCCTTGACTTGTTTTTTATTTTTAACTTTTTCTCAGTCATTATAGCAGATCTTTGGTATGTTCATCCATAGACTTTTACTCAAGTATTTGTACTTATCAAGTAATGTCTCAATCTCATCTTGCTCCTGAAACCTCCCACCCTCCTGCTCCGGTTGAAGGCTGGTTGTTCTTGATCCCTGCTACATAGCTCTGCTCTGGACACTTCCTGCACTGCTTTTCTGGTTGAATTCCCAGCTACTGGAGTCCCATGCCTGCTTTTCTTCTCTGAAAGCTTTTAAGATCTTCTTTTTATTTTTGGTCTAGTGTATCTTTTTTTCTTAAATCATTTTCTGCTAGGTTAATATTTAATTTGTTATCAATAACAAACTATCTTTAATTCTTAAAGAATATTGTTGGTATGGCTCTTATGTTTTCTTGTTTACCTCATCTATGCACTTTTATTATGTGAACAGGTAAAAGTTGGCAACTCTCCTGGTTTTCAGAGTATACTTGTTGGCATTTTTAGTCTGAGTTGACCAGTAGAGTGAGTGAATGCACTTCTCATTGTTATAAAAGCAGCAAGCCCGATTGTAAGAGAATCTATCAGGCAAGTATAGTTAGCCTCTGCAAAATGCCACTTTCCAGCATTTATGTCTTCTGTGCCCTGTGCCTGGATTTATCATAGAGCAGATGTCTTCAAATTTTGGTTGCACATCTTTTTCAGTAGCCTCAGATGTCACAACATGAATTATGATGCTTAATGATGTGCTGAGTGTGCTTATAATAAATCCCCCAATAGATCAGATTGCTCAAACTATCTCAAACCCAGTAGATTTTATAGCTATAACTGTAGATATATATTTCTTTTATAAAGTGCATGGTTGTTCTTTCTTGTCTATTTTCAAGAAGAATTCAGCTCACTTTTCATTTTTATACTTCTTTTGTGGAACGCTTACGATCAGTTTTTTAAGCACAGACCAGACTTACCAGATTGCTGCCTTTGAGCCATGGTCTAGAATATTCTTTGCAGAAATTGTCCCTAAATCCACTATTGTATAGTTCATATATGGAAAACGATTATTTTCTCCTGAACCCATCTGTCTTTTCAGCTTAGATTGTCTGAGGCAAGAGAGTGAGGGTCCGTCAGAATAGGGATTCTAAATTACGCTCTGCCACTCAGCTCTACTACCAAGGGTCAGTCTCCTACCCTTTCCTGGGGCTGGTTTTCCTCTCGTCTTTAAAATAAATGAACCGTTCACTCAAATACTGCCCTGAGATGTAGAGATGGGCTCTTTGGGTGGAACGAGAGTCACCAGAACTTCCTAGTGGGGGTATCGAATTCATCACAATGAGCCCAGCATCTGAGCCAAGAGGTTGACTGTGAATATAAACAAATCAGAAATAAATGGGGATGAGGGTGGAGTAAATGGTGGTGTTTGAAGGTAAGCAGAGGAGGGACTCTGGAGGATCCCCCTTGCCTTAAGGAAGGTTTGTGGCTTGTTTTCATGTCCTGGAATGTTATGTGTGGGAGGGTCAACCCTCGGGTAGAACAAACACCTTTCAATTTTGATGGTTTTCCCTTGTGTTTTTGAATTTGTTTTATTCTTCAACTTAAAAAGTGTTTCTTCAGCTTCAAAGTGGAGCATTTTAGATATGTTCCAGCTCTGTTGGTTCTATATGTGAACGAACATATAGGAGAGCAATAGGAGAGGCCCCAGGCAGAAGGAACACTAATATTTGTTTAGATGAATTGGCAAGAAAATTAGCTCTAAGCATTTGCAAGTTGAGAAATGAAGTACAATATAAATTTTTCTTTTTTTCCACAATAATAACCAGCAATTTTTTTTTTTAAAAAAAGCTGAATTCCAGGTTATATCAAATAAATCCCATTGACTAAATCCGCTAGTTTGTTGTCATGACAACCTTCACTTGGAGCTAATTAGAAGTTAACTGGGACACTTGACGAGATCAATTCTGGTCTGGAATTGGGCAGGATTTCACAACTTCTATAATATAATGTATTTATTTCTGTAACAGCATACATTGTTTGTGGGTTATTAAATGTAATGGTCTAAAAACTGTGCCTTTGGTTGATATGGGAGGTAGTGAATCTTGTTCTCTTTCTCATTCCTTTCCTTTTTTTTCCCCTCAAAATCCCTAGGGTCCAGAATAAGCCAAGAACTTCAGATATTAATTTAAGATGTACTGGAAGGGTTATAGAACAGGTGTTCCAATCACTTTTGGCTTGAAAACCTTCTATGTCCTTCTTCTACAATGAACAACACTGGCTCAGAATGACTGAGTTATTTTATTCTGTCATTCACAGTTAAGGGGAATGTTCAGAGCCTATCAGGTGCTTTAAAGCATATGATAGATGCAAACTATCCTGATTTTAAGATGCAAACACCTTGTTGGGAATGAAAGTTTACCGACACGGAAAGCTTAAAATATGTTTGCCAAATCGCCTAAGATTAGTTCAGCAAACATTTATGGAACGCCTGGATTGTACAAGGCAGTTAAAATTAGTATATAGGCAGCATATCCCAAGTATCAAAGTACTATGAAAATATCGAGTAACATGCAATTAGAAATTAGCATCAAATTATTTTGAGAAACTATTATGTGCAAACGTTTTTCAGGCTTGGGAGGTGAGGACATAACCAATACAACCAGGTCCCTGTCCTGGAGGAAGTTAGTCACTGTATGTGTGTGGCCATAGGTACCAGGTGTCATCCATAATGAGCCAAATCACTCCATAGCTTGGTGTTAGCGAAGTGTGGCAGTCAAAGAAACATCAATCTAATGGTCAAAACTGTTGAAAATAATCCAAATCTTTATAGTGTCTCTCATAGGAACATCCCAGGGGGAATCCTTTCATAATACACAGAAAAATTTTTTTAAAATTCTCTTTTCCCCAGCTATTCTACTCTCGTATCTCCCTGGCATCCACGACAGCTCTCCAACATCTGTCTCATTTGGCTCAGACTCCCACAACGATCCCTCCAGCTCAGTCTGCACAGACTGTTTTGTTTCTTCTCTCCTTCCCACTCTGCCTCAGCTCTTTATTATGCAGTTCCACTTAAAGTGTCTCTGACTTCTCCCAGTTTTCCTATTTCCCATTGCCTGGATTCTGTACTGCACAGAAAGGTAAAGTTGCTGGAATCCTTCCCTCTCAACAGTGGGGCTGTTGATGTAATCTATTCCAATTTACTATTTTTAAAATCTCATTTACACGGATTGCACGTTTGTGTGTGTGTGTGTCTTGAGAGAGAAAGTTGAGCTAGACTTTGTAATTGCTTAAATAGCTCAGAGAGCATTTTATAGCCCCTGTAGACTGAAACATAGGCTATTTTTCTTTGTACCCCCAAATATCCCTGGCCTTACTGTATTGTTTTGGTAATTAGCTGTTTATATGTCTCTTCCTTTCTTTTGATTGTGAATTCCTTTGCTTGGGGGTCTTATTTATCTTTATATCTCCAATATCTGGCCCCATAACTGAAACATATTGCCTCTATAATAGCTGTTTGGGAAACTTCTAGTTGGAGACCTATGGAGAAAACTTATTCCAGACTGAGGATATAGCAAGAGATGAGATAAGAAGTCATGGAACTGACTCTCCTATTCAGAGAACAACCAGGCATCTGTTGTAGCAGAAGCACAGGGTGAATGTAGCAGGAGGTGGCACTAAGGAGATGGGTGGAATTAAGTGCTTCCTCCTCTCTGATCTCCCCACAGGGCGCTGTAAGTGTCTGTCTCTCCTACTGCTCTCACTGGACCAAGAGCTGCTTAAGGGCTCTCTGTGTCTTGTTCATCTCCTATTCCCACCGCATGGCACCCAGGAGGCATTTGGTAGATGTTGAATAAATGGCAAATGAACTTAGTTCTGTAGGCAAGGGCTGTGGGAAAGTGGGGCTGGGTTTTGGGGGTAGGAGGGGGTAGGTAGCACCTCACCTGGGAGGGTGTCTCATGATCCACCCTACGATTTGCTAAGATAACCAAGTGGCATGTGAAGGAGAGATGAGGAAAGGGAGAGTCTGGAGGCTAGAAAACAGTTTAGGATGTTCTTTACATGTTGTAGGTAAAAGATGATGAGGATTTCGACTCCACTCAGGAATTGGCTTCAATATCTTGAAGGGCCATCCCTCACAGAACCAACACAGGCTCCTTTTAAGGGAGAAGGTGCAAAAGCTGAGCAAGGGTCATTCTGCGCCCTCCCCAGCCCCTCCCCAGTCACAGCACGCATCCAACCACTTTCTAACGAGACGGATGAACTCCAAGCCTTTCCTCCCTGCATTTCTGCAGTAGCAAGGTCACGTGAGGTACTCTCAGCCCATTTCAGAACGTGTATATGTGGTTTACCTCAAGTAATGCCAGAGTAATAGAATATTGTTGAGGCGAAATTTCTGTTTGATAGATGTTGAGACAAGGCAGTGGAAGGCATTTATCAGGTAACATTGCTCCCTTCATCTGTTATGTGAAATGATTAATGATATAGACAGTGTCATTTTGCTTGATAGCTGTAGATGAAATCATGACGGTAACCCATTATGGCTGTTATTGAAACCTTTAATATATAGAGAAAACACAATTTAATCAGTCCTAAGAACTGAACCAGAAATATAGACAAATAAAGGTAGTACAGGAGTGGACACGTGTTCCCCTCTGTCTAGTAAAGTGGACCAGGGTTCTGGAAAGCTTAGCATGGGGCACAGGTACACCCTGATCAGTCCTGGGTGTGCTGCCCATCCTTGGTCTTCTCTGAGCCCGCTGAAGCTGGACGAATTCTAGCCACGATCGTTTCCTGCCCAAACCATTTGAGTAGCCTCCTAGCTGATTTCTCTTTCTCTTGTCTCTTTCCTGTCCAGTTCACCTTTAAACTGTGGTCAGAATCATCTTTTTAAAGCAATCTCTACATCATTCCCTTACGGTAGTCCTGCTCAGTTTTCTATACAACAAAATCCAAATTCCTTACTTTTACGTGACCTGTTCAAAATTTACGTCTTCAGTCTTATTTCTCACCACTCTCACTGCTATGCTTCCTATACACACATGCAGTAAAGGCCATATAAGATTCCATATGTCCCTTGGATGTCACTGCTCATTGCTTACATAGAGCTCTCTCCACCTCAAATGCCCTGGTCCCTGTTCTCTGCCAGTTGAAATTCTACTATTCTTTCAAGGCTCAGTTCATATAACTCTTCTTCCAGGAGGTCTTCTCTGTCCATAGTATGAGGAATTACTCTGTCCTATCTCTAGGATCCTATGACACGTCATAAGTACCTGTGTTCTGACATATTCTACTTGGTATTTCATTTAGTTGTGTACAAATCTATTTTTCTCAGTAATTGTAAATTTTGTAGGGAGAGGGTCTGTTTCTTCATCTTTGTGTCCCATGGCACCTAATATACTATCTTAAATATATTCATTAAATCAAATTGAATTATCTATAGGTTTGGAATTCTAAAATTTGATCTTTTTCATGTTTAAGCAGCTATGAAAACTCAGAACAAGGTTTTGGGCCGTGAGTTCATTGTTTCTCCTTTATTGTAAAGTTTTAACTAGCATTACTCAGTTATAATTTTAAAATTACGGTGCTTTTATCACTCTATTCTGAAGGCTAGTACATCATATATTAATACTATCATAAAAATGAGTTGTTACTTTATGAGGCTGGACACTGGCAACATTGGGCAGTAGGCACAGTTTATCTCTGATGGTTCTGTAGTCACAACTCCTTTAGTTGTAAGTGAAGGAAAAACTACTTACCCTGGCTCCAGTCAATCAGGCTTGGTGGGAAGGCAGTACTCAGGGTGCGGTAGATATGCTCTGGCATAGACAAGGCCTGGAAAGGAAACACAATGGGCCTCACAGGAAACGGAACCTGCGGGTGGAAGCCAAGGCTGCACTCGGTCCCCCAGGGGCAGTGAGTTCCGCTGCTCCGCCCCTGCTCACATCCGGCCCAATAGCTGCCCTCTCCAACTCGGCACCGGACCTCAACTCATACAGCCAGAACTGCCTGTGGTTCTCCTCTGTTGTCCTTCCTGACATGAAATCATAATGACAGGGAATCTGGGGGAGTCAACCCTGCCTATGGGCAAGTCCGTCGTGGGTCCGAGGTCCGCGCATGAGCTCGACTGTGTCCACACAGTAGACGGTGCATGCATGCTCTCGACCCGCTCTCTTCCTTGCCATTCGCTCTTCCCATTTCTTGCCCAATCCCCAGTCATTCTTCCCTGCTCAAGCCCCTTTCAGGGATCTGAAACTCTTTATTCCAGGGCTCTCATCTCAGAAGAAAAGTGATTTTTCAAAATATTATTTTGGTGTGAATTACTTTACTTGTTACTCCTCTGTAACATGTCAACAGAGAATGTGCAGGGAAAGAATCCTAAAATAACATATTATTCATGATTAATTGCAGATCTTATATTTTGTGGCCATCTGTAATTACAATTAAGAAGAATTCAAATAAGCTTAATTACTTAAGGGATTGTGACTTCTGAGTCCCTCTGTCTTTTCCTGGGAACAGGGTTAGGTGATGATCAAGAACAGACAAATGAAATAAAATAGTTTAAAATTAAATATGCAATATTTTACCAATATTTATCAACCTTACTATATTATCCTCTTCTTATTTCTAGCACATGATTATTCAGTGTTGCTCTGAAATAGTATCTCTGTTTTTGAATGATAAAGATTTAACACCACTATCTGAGGTACGTACTTTTTCTTTAAAACTGTATCTGATTGACTTAAAAGTATTATTATTGCTGTGGAAATGGAAATATAGAAATCATCTGATTTTAAGTATCAAGGGCCTAACTCACCTTAATTAATGTGAAAAAGTGATAAATATGAGTTTACAATAGCATGTTATTTTGGTTACAACATTCTTTGTAATTTAAAAATCATCTCAAATCTACCATTCAGAGAATAACCTCTATTAACCTTTGGAGAATATCTAGAATTTTTCTCCATGTATAAATAAGCTTTAGAATTTTTACATCAACGGGATCATATTTTACACGCATTCTATAACTTGTTTTTTTCATTGAACAATAATTTCATGGAGGTGTTTTTGTATGAAAAGTCTACCTTGTCATATTTAATGCCTGCATAATTGTCTTTTTTATGTATTTGTTGTGCCAGGTGCAACAAATTTACATAGCTACGTAAAAAAGATTTACATAGCTAAATCTTTATTGATGGCTGTTGAAGTTAATGGATTCTGGTACTTACATATTTTGCCCTTCTGCATTATCTCCTCAGAGTTAATTCTTAGGAATTTGATTTTAGAGTTAAAAAAAGCATACATACATTTTTCATTATAAGACACACATAATATAAATTTTACAATTTTAACCATTTTTAAGTATACAGTTCAGTGGCATTAAGTATATTCACAATGTTGTGTAACCATTACTACCATCTATCTCCAGAATTTTTTCACTATCCCAAATAGACACTTCATCCCCATTAAACAATAACTCTCCACTCCCTCCTCCCCCAACTCTTGGTAACCTCCATTCTACTTCCTATCTTTATGAATTTGCCTAGTCTAGATACCTCATGTTAATGGAATCATACACTATTTGTCCTTTTGTGTCTGGCTTATTTCATTTAGCATAATGTTTTCAGAGTTGTCCACGTTGTAGTGTATATTAGTATTTTATTCTTTTTAAAGATAGAACAATATTCCATTGTGTATATATAGCACATTTGTTTATCAACTTATCTATTAATGGACATTGGGTTTGTTTCCGCCTTTTGGCTATTGTAAATAATATTGCTATGAACATAGGTGTACAAGTATTTGCTTTCTGTTCTTTGGGGTGTTTGCCTAGGAGTGGAATTGCTGGATCATATAATTCTGTTTAATGTTTTGTGGAACTCCCAAACTGTTTTCCTCAGCAGCTGAACAAGTTATACTCCCACCAACACTCCACAAGGATACCAATTTTTGCACATTCTCTCCGACATTTATTATTTTCCATTTTTTATTTTTTATAATAGCCATCCGAATGGGTGTGAAGTGGTAGCTCGTGATTTTGATTTGCATTTCCTTAATGACTTTTGATGTTGAGAATCTTTTCATGGGCTTATTGGCTATTTGTAAATCTTTAGAGAAATGTCTATTCAATCCTTTGTCCATTTTTGAATTGGTATGTATCTTTTATTATATAATAGCAAATGACCCTCTGGAAATGTTACAGCAATTTTCTCTGTTATCAATAGTAGATGAGAGGACCACTTTACCCTCCTACGCATCTGTACTAATTTTCTTCCTCCTCCTCCTGCTCTTTCTCTTCTAATGATTATGAATCTGAGAAGTGAAAAATACTATGTTATTAACTTATTATTATTAAGGCCAAATAGAGTTCACATGTTTATCGACAATTTGTGTTTCTCTTTTTGCAAAATGGTATACATTCATTTAGCCAGTCAATGAATGTTTAGAGTGTTTAGAGTGAACATTCCTGACACTGCCTCTGCGTCAGGAACTCCTTTCTAGGCACTGGAGAGCTAGCTGTGAACAAGCAGCAAGGATCCCGCTCTTCTGGAGCTGCCATTTTAGCAGCAGGAAATAAACAGTAAACAAATTAACAAGCAAGGCAGTTTCAGATTTTCTTAAGTGCTATGAAGGTAAAAATCAGAGAGATATGTTAGAGTAGTGGTAAGCAAACTACAGCCTGTGAACTATATCTGGCCACTGCCTGTTTTGTAAATAAAGTTTTATTGGAACACAGCCTTCCTTGTTCATTCATTTACTTATGGTCTAAGGCAGCTTTCACAGTACAATAGCAGAGTTGGTAGTTTTGGCAGAGAATCCACAAAGTCTAAATTATTTATTGTCTTGTCCTTCACAGAAAACGTTTGCTGGACCCTGTGACAGACAGTGACAGGGAATGGGGTCACAGTTTAGATACAGTTGTCAGGGAAGACTTCTCTGAGGAGGTGACATGTGAAGGAAGACCTGAAATATTATACTGTGTGCTTCCCATTAGGTCATTAGCTTCTCGGGCAGGGGTGCTGCTCTATTCATCTTTGAGTTCTTACAGTGACTTGTACACCACATCACTTGGTCCCTTCTCTCGAATCGAATTGAATTTCGTTTAGTTTTGAACACCTGAAATTTAATCTTTGCTTTATTTATGCATTTGGCTATTTATGTCTTTTTTCTACTTTTTAAATGGGGAACTTAATTTTTTCTTAAGGAAATGTATAGATTTACTGTGATAGACCATTGATAATAAAATCAAGCTTAAATATAATTTTGGGCAAACTGTAGTTAAAAATAGTTTACAAAAAATTTGTTATCATAAGACACATGATTTATGATGTCAGTGGGCTTTGGCTTCTGATAGATCTAGATTGGAATCCCAGCCTTGAGTCTTCTTAGTTGTGTGAACTTAGACAAGTTATTTAACTTCCCTAAGCCTCAGTTTTCTCATATGTAAGATGGAGTAATAACTCCAGCCTCTCACAGTTGTTGTGAGGATTAAAGCAAATAATGTCCTTTAAGTATTTGTCACAGGCCTAGTATAAATAATTGTTCAGTAAATATTAGCTGTGTAATCCTCATCATCATCATTATCCTCCTCCCCACGGTTTTAGCCCCCCTGCATAAATTCTTCATCCCTTACTCAACTAATTTCAATCAGATTTTTAGGATACGAATTTGTTTTGAAATATTTATAGAAAAGGAGAGAAAGGGATGGGTGTGGTGGCTCCTGCCTGTAATCATAGCACTTTGGGAGGCTGAAGCAGGAGGATCGCGTGAGGCCAGAAGTTCAAGACCAGCCTGGGCAACATAGCAAGATCCTCATCTCTACAAACAAAATTTAAAAATTAGCTGGGCATAGTGGCCTGTGCCTGTAGTCCCAGCTACTCAGGAGGCTGAGGTGGGAGGATCACGTGAGTCCAGGAGTTTGAGACTGCAGTGAGCTGTGATCATGCCACTGCACTCTAGCCTGGGTGACAGGTAAAGCCCTGTCTCAGGAAAAAAAAAAAAGGAAAGGAAAGAAAGAAAAGGAGAGGAAAAGTATTAAAGGTAGAGAAAAAATAGGAACTATTTTCTTTGCCTGTAAGGTAGATTACTGTTGAATCCTACAGGAATTAGGTCAGTGTGCAGGATCCCAACATGAGATCCTGGTGGCAAAAGAGTCACCCATCCAAAAGAAGGTGGCTCCCAGTCGAATCCCATGCTGTACTTCCACTGAAAGCAAGACTAACTAACAGTGCTGAGATGGGATGTGGACATTTATGAGCTGGCCCAAGAAGTAAATTGTTGGATAAACAAAATTGCATGCCTTAGTGAAGCTATTTTTGTCACTGGCATGAGATCTTGATGTGCAATTTGGTTTCTTACTGAACATAGCTATTACAAATTATCCTTTCCTATATTACCTCTTCCTAATTAAAGTAAATATTGACATACACAGCTTGTGACACAAAGAAACTGAGAATAGCAAGAAGATGAAGGAGGAGAATGAGTGCCCCATGCTAACCTTCTTAGTGATTAATCACAGAATATCAATAACCATTAGGTATGATTTCTGGTGAGGCAGCAATAAAAAGCATTTTTAATTGCCTGTGTAGGTTTGAAGTATTGCAGTTCACAAGTTGTCAGGTAGGATTCAAACATGATGCTAAAAATATTCCTTCTGGTCTTGCTGTGACTGACCATGGAATGGACTGAGTCCTTTTATACAAACTCTGTTCATCAGCAATTATTGACTACCAGCTGCATAGAGAACACCAGTGTAAAACACTTTTGTTGCAGTAAAGACAGCATAGATTAAAGTTCCTGCAGACAGCTAAATTAAATATTTTCTTATCATCCACATGATACAAATAAATTTGCATGCACATGTATCTGTGTGTATGAATTGAAATAACTAGAATCGTACAGAATCACTATGGAGAGGAGGTTTCTAAAAGCAGATCCTGGTTAAAGGTGGAAAAGGCTAACCTGGGCCACGATATCAGAGGCATTATATGAGGACATTGCAAAGTAGTTTCTCTTGGCTGCATGAAATTAGCAGAATTTGTTTTTTAATTCAAGAGTTTAAACCAAACCAAGCATAGTACTTGACAAATGATAATAGTCAAGAAATGCAAATACTACTATTGCTAGTGATAATAATAGTTAATATTTATTGAGCAGATGGCATGTGCAGACATTGTTAAATGTTTTAAATATTTAGCATTACAAGAACCCTAACCTGTTTTAGAGATGGGGAAACTGATGCACAGGAAAGTGAAGCAGAATGCTCAAGGTCTCACAGCTCGATAAGAGGAGGAGGCAGGAGTCAAATATAGGTCTGCTCAAATCCAGGATCTGCATTTTTAACTAACCTACACCCAGTGAATGTTTTACTAGAATAGTGGGAGCAGATGCTACAGGGAGTTGAGGAGTGACAGTGAGAATGTGAAGGCTGCAAGTGTAGATTAACCTTTAAGAAGGTTTGAAAGGGTAGAAAAACAGCTAGAGGGAGACAGAGTCAAGAGAGGGTGTTAGGATATGAGTGATCATAAGGGAAAAGAATTAGGAGAGGTAGAGGTTGCCTGTCTGGGAGAGAGAAGGACAAATGATTGAGCAAGGCCCTATAGGAGATGGTAGGGAACGCAAGATAGTTGACCGGAAGGAGAGGAAAAACACCTCTCTCTGGGCCTCTGGGTAGCAGATCAAGGTAGGGAAGGATGTAAATAAGTT